TCCCCCGCTGGACCCCGTCTAGGCCTTATGAATTGCGCGCCCTTCCAGATAAAGTTACCCTGACGAAAGAAAAACGCAACTCTCATGCAAACCTCTTTTTGTATTGGTATGCGGCGCAAGCTTAAACTGCTAGTCTCGTTATTAGGCCTGCGGCGCATGTTTGATCGGCAGGCCGCTACCTCATCCTGCGGCTCAAACTTGCGGGATTAGCTTCCTTTTTTAGCCTAGCTTGCCCGGCAGCCTGCGGCGCTAGCTTGTACGGCTAGCTTCGTTCTAAAGCCTGCGGCGCTAGCTTGTACGGCTAGCTTCGTTCTAAAGCCTGCGGCGCTAGCTTGTACGGCTAGCTTCGTTCTAAAGCCTGCGGCGCTAGCTTGTACGGCTAGCTTCATTCTAAAGCCTGCGGCGCTAGCTTGTACGGCTAGCTTCGTTCTAAAGCCTGCGGCGCTAGCTTGTACGGCTAGCTTCGTTCCTAAAGCCCGCGGCGCTAAGCTTGTACGGCTAGCTTCGTTCTAAAAGCCTGCGGCGCTAGCTTGTACGGCTAGCTTCGTTCTAAAGCCTGCGGCGCTAGCTTGTACGGCTAGCTTCGTTCTAAAGCCTGCGGCGCTAGCTTGTACGGCTAGCTTCGTTCTAAAGCCTGCGGCGCTAGCTTGTACGGCTAGCTTCATTCTAAAGCCTGCGGCGCTAAGCTTGTACGGCTAGCTTCGTTCTAAAAGCCTGCGGCGCTAAGCTTGTACGGCTAGCTTCGTTCTAAAGCCTGCGGCGCTAGCTTGTACGGCTAGCTTCGTTCTAAAGCCTGCGGCGCTATAGCTTGTACGGCTAGCTTCGTTCTAAAGCCTGCGGCGCTAGCTTGTACGGCTAGCTTCGTTCTAAAGCCTGCGGCGCTAGCTTGTACGGCTAGCTTCGTTCTAAAGCCTGCGGCGCTAGCTTGTACGGCTAGCTTCGTTCTAAAGCCTGCGGCGCTAAGCCGTACGGCTAGCTTCGTTCTAAAGCCTGCGGCGCTAGCTTGTACGGCTAGCTTCGTTCTAAAGCCTGCGGCGCTAGCTTGTACGGCTAGCTTCGTTCTAAAGCCTGCGGCGCTAGCTTGTACGGCTAGCTTCGTTCTAAAGCCTGCGGCGCTAGCTTGTACGGCTAGCTTCGTTCTAAAGCCTGCGGCGCTAGCTTGTACGGCTAGCTTCGTTCTAAAGCCTGCGGCGCTAGCTTGTACGGTTAGCTTCGTTCTAAAGCCTGCGGCGCTAGCTTGTACGGCTAGCTTCGTTCTAAAGCCTGCGGCGCAGATTTGTGTGACGAACTTCATACTAACGTCCCTACACGGAAATCCACTCCGAAACGCACTTTCCGAGCAAAAAGCAAAACGACTACGATATCCGAGTCTCGAACCTCCGATGGTTAGATTAGCACGGCGAAGCGCTAACCACTACGCCATGCAATGCTTGGCATCAGGCGCCAAAAACCCCTTTTGGGCATTGCCCGGGGCAGGGGAAGTAAAAGCATCGAGAGGCAGATCCAAAGAAACGACCAAACTCGCAAGTGCAACTGGCCAGAATGAGCAAATTTGTATTTTTTCACATTATGCAAATTAGCCCTGCGGACCCCCAAAAATCGATAAAACCGGCTTTAACTTTGTAAACTTGTATTTTATCGGGATTCTGAAAACGCCATCGGAAAGAGGAGGGTCGATTCCCCCGGGTGACGGAGAATTAGGGCATTTTGGACACGGGAAGGCCCTGAAATCGGGCCTCGAAACTGACCTCCGCACACACACACACACACAAAGATACGCGACCAAATTATATAAGGTAGGATAGATGTTCAAAAATCGAGCGGCAAGTTTTGGCTCGTTGTTGCCTGATGTATGGGATTTCGAGAAAAGTTCTAAGAAATGGGCCAAATTTCAAAGGCCCATGTCTCGGCCATCCAGTGACCAATTTTGAAAATCTCAACATCCATCGATATCTACTCCTCGAGATCTATCGATTGGTGTTAAAGGTATCGCATGCAAATTGCTCTATGCAGAGATAACTTGCAAAAACACTTTTCCCAAATTTCGCCAAAAACTTCCTTCCTCCTCCTTCCTCCGGAAGAAATTTAGGTCGAGGGCTACCAAATGACATATCGAATGTCAAAAATGATGCTATCTGCGATTTTAAGCAGCTCTTCGAAATCTCGGCGACAGGATTTACCTTCCAACCTGATATAAGGTTTCTTTTTAATATGAATCGCGGATGTATTTCTAAACTATTCGTAGTCTTCTTAAGCTTCAAATGACTAGAATTTTGATGAAAAATCAAAACGTATCGATTGTTCGACCAAAAATGGCCGATTTTCCACGAAAGTTTCAACGAAGCTTTTTTTCTCGAAACACCAGGCTTTTTTGACCCTTTGTTTCCAATCAAAAAGTAGGGAAATTTTGACTAAAAACGTTTTTAAAAAAGATTTACGCTACTTATAAAAAAATGATCGAGAAAAACTAGGCGTAGCAAACATCTTAACAAATCGATAGCATTCTTGAGCAATCCTTTTACAGATGCTAATCGAAAGCGTCGATTCCCAGATCGGAACCTACGCAGAAATGGTGTTGCGGGAATGGCTCCGTGGCGAGCGCCAAATCCATTTGGTCGATGCAAGACGCTGTCCTCGCCAACCTCACCTTGATCGTTCGCCATATTTTGGCCAATACCCCAATATGTCCACGAATCATTCCGTCTATTATCGTATCCTACGTGCCGATGGTGCGAAGCTAATTGTCAGAATTGATCGTGGAATGTTTCATGTGGCCATCAGCGACTTGGAGCATGTCCAATATGACGATGATGCCGTACTCAAAGCGGAGATTCATCGTTTCGCGAATGAAACTGGTTGAATAAACGCTTGTCGACTTGACAAAAAATGATCTGGCGTAATGTATTAGGACCAAGACACAGTTGACCAAGAAATGAGATGGGCTAGCGAGAAAGAGGGAGAGCTAGAGAGAGAGAGAGAGAGAGAGAGAGAGAGAGAGAGAGAGAGAGCGAGAGAGAGCGGGAGGGAATGGGGAATTGCACAACGTTGCCCAAGGGCAAACAGGGCAATTCTGAGGACTATTCAAATCGCACCTAGTTTCCCGCGTTATCTCATCCGAATTCCAACCCGATGGCCAAGCTGGGGTGCACACCGAAGCTCATTAGTTAGGCCTATGAATTATTTTCTTCCGAAGTTTATGATGTTTCTAGATTATTGGCCCTCTCTCTATATCGCTCTATCTCGCTCACAGTCCCTTTCATATTTCATTTTCCACTAGCGCCAACCAATTACAGATGACGCTCAATTTCTGCGCACTTCCCGTCGAGGTTCAACACAATATCCTGAGATACATGGACATTGAGAGTTTCTTCAAGACGGCAAATGCTAGCCAGCAGATGCTAGCAATTGCCAAGGATTGCCGCAACAAATACTGGAATGTGGAACTCGGATTGGACCCAAAAGGTTTGAGGATTGAACTGGCACGCAGAAGGCCAAGTGCTTACATCACGGACAAGGACACTTGGATTCTGCTTTTTGATCACTCTGTCGTCGAAACTTTCGAAACCAAGATCGATCTGCCCGATGAAATTGACCTGCGTTGCTATAATGCGAGGTTTCGTTTTTACGAAGATGACGACGAGCTGACAAATGCCCGGTGGCACCAGCCGGATGGCAAGTTTGATTCGCTGATCCTGCGGATGGTGCCCTCGAATCCGGAGGTGCTGGAGTGGCTAAACGACTCGGTGAACGAGGAATTAAGCGGTTACCTGGAAGCACCTTTTCCAGACTACATAGCTTTGAAACTGCGCACCATGGAGTTGCAGGTGGGATTTTTAGCGCAATTCAATTCACTTTTGTACTTCTATTTTGTAGCGCTTTGGATAGAGCGCCAAAGTATCCAGAGAGAGAGAGAGGGAGGGAGAGAGAGAGAGAGGGTGAAAGTGAGAGAAGGAGAGAAAGAGGACGAGAGAGTGAGAGAAGGACAGAGAGTGAGAGAGCTAGAAATAGGGAGAGAGAGTGAGAGAGAGAGGCAAGGAGAGACTGAGAGAGCTAGAGAGAGAGTGAGAGAGCTAGAGAGAGCTAGAGAGAGAGAGAGAGAGCAAGAGAGATAGAGAGAGAGAGAGAGAGAGAGAGAGCAAGAGAGAGATAGAGAGAGAGATAGAGAGAGCAAGTAACACCAGGCTGACATGGCAAGGCTATATATTCATTTCACTATTCGATTTCGCAAATTCAGAAGGCAGTTGTCAAAAAAATGGAATTCGCTGAAAATTGGGCTTCCAATTACCTTAGTATTGGACCTAATAACCAAACAAAAAAACGTTCGACCCAAATTAATCGATCGTTTTGCAGATACCATACCAGAATGTCGAGCCGCAAGTCGGACTATATGCTCAAATGGTGATCGAAGAATGGCTGCGCGGCGAGCGCCAAATTCATCGGATTCTAGCGGGGCGCTTCCGTTACCCCGTTGACGCCGAGATTCCGCCATTTTTTGACCAGTACCCCCGGATGTATATGGAAGAGTGCGACTCCACCTATTTTCGCATTGTGCGTCCCGATGGGGAGACACTGATTGTCAGGATACCCGATGGAATGTGTTATGTGGCTCTCAGTGATGTTGCGAATATTCAATTCGATGATGGGGACGCGTTATTCAACGAGGATATCATTCAATTCGCCAGCGGAAACACCGATTATGACGATGTCACCGATGATGGTGAGGATGACAATGATGAGATCGTTGACGATAGTATTTCTGATGATGGTATTAGTGATGATGCCGACCATGCTGAAGAGGATGATATTGATGTTTATCATGATAAATGATTCTTACATCATGTAAATTTGTCCAAAGTGTCCAAAAAACTAACGTGACGTACTTATTTTTGCGCATGCATGCAGTTTCAATCTTTACAAAAACGTTTGTATGCTTGTCAAGGCCTCATAAAAACCTGAACGAGGTATTTATTCCGCAGTGAATTGCACTAAATTATTTTCTAAACGAGCGACGGGTCATTTTTCAGCTTCTGCTCGGGCTCCTTCTCGTCCTGCTCCTCCGGCGCTTCTTTCTCCTCCTGCGCTAATTCCTCAGTGGCGTCATTCCAGAGCAGTTTGAGTCCACAGAGGATGCCTAAAAATTTAGGTGTTTGAGAGAGAGAAAGAGAGAGAGAGAGTGAGTCAGTGAGAGAAAGAGAGAGCGCGAAAGAGTATTCAATATCGCAATTAAGTAACTATAAAGTACAATAGCCCTAAAAACTTGAAACTCACAGGGCCAACAACACAAGAGACAGCAGCAAAGTCGCAATAGCTGGCCTAAGCTGCACCTCCTTTGACCGTCATTATCTGAAGAAGCGTCGTATTTTTGGAGTTTTAGAGAATTACGTGGCGTAACGCATTACGTTATACTCCCTCGCACGTGGGTAATAAAAATATTTCAATACGGTAAAAAATTTGAGACTTACCCGCCATCGTTGTGAAACGTTCACAATTGAGCTGATTGGAAACGGTGGGCGAACGGACCGGGAAGCGATTTGTCGGCCCCGGTTGCCCCAATCAGGGCCGGGATGCTCTGATCTATCCACCCCGTACAGGCAGAAGCTCCGCCTCCAATTTTCTTATATTTTTGGGCAATGCCTGGCATTAAGTAGATACTAAGTAAACTGAGATTGTAGTAGGGTTTTTGAGCTGTCTACCAGAATTTCAAAAACTCATTTTCTCAGAAAATCATAAATTTGGCATAGTCATGACTCGAACAAACATGAGATCGAAAAGTCATTTGTTCGAAAAAATGATAATTCGAGAATCCTTTCCGTCGATTTAGTGTTTATTCGCGCTCACAACTTTCCAAAGCATTTGCTTTTCGATGGAAAGGTTTCTTCATCTAATGATTTTTAAGGAGATCATTTTTAAAGTTAAAGTATCAAAAGCAAAATTTTAAATTTTGGATGTCGAAAGTTATTATTGCGGTGGTATGCGGTGTCGCAGTAAAGCGTTTTTAAAGTCTTTTCGGTGCGATGCGCTTTTAAGCTATCATTTTCGACGTAATGACTTTTCAAACTATTCTCGCTTCGAAGTAACGTCTTTTTGCTTTTCATGTTATTGTGATTATATTTATTAAAGTAAAACGTCGAAAATCTTGGTTTAAACAGGCGGCGCAGTATCCTCGGTGTCTCGGCGCAGTTTCGCTTCATGCCTTGCGGCCAGCCCTTCCAAATAGCTTTCCACCCGCTCCGGGACGAAGTGGTGCACGAGGTACAAAAGACTGAGGCCTGACAGCAAATTTTTTGCATTTTTCGGAGTTACCAACCTGACTTTACTAAGTATTACTAATAACCCACAAGGACAAACGAGCATCATGATACAGCCACACCCAAGCGCCTTGAGGCCGTATAGTACGGAGTCCACAAAACTTTCTGTCCCAGGAGTATCTGGAAAATTTTAAAATTTGAGGATGTCGACGGAAAGATACCAGCGATTTAAGTTAAGTAAAGTTGAAATAAATCACTTAGAAAAGGGTTTATAAATAAGTGAAAACGCTCACATTCGTCAGAGCTACCGTCCTCCATCCTTCGAAATGGGACGCTCATTGTCGTCTCAAAGTCCGTGATGGCCCCGAAGAGGTTGTTGGCACTTTATGAACGATAGAAATTGCAGCTGAAAAAGGTTAAGTCTACAATAAGACTATTAAAATGTCAGGGATATCAAAGTCAACAAAGAAAAAATTTCCAACGCTATTTTCTCATTTTTAGAGATATTCGTGATTTTAGAGACTCAAAAGGCTTGCCGCAAGGAGTTAAAAATCTTGATGGAAGATTTGAAATTCTGATTTGCGAAACGGTGACTTTCGAAAAAACGCTTTTCGGCATTTGTTGGACATTTTGAAGGCCGACCCAAACAGCCATTGTTCGAGCAGCTTGGCGAGAATTAACTAAAACTAAATAGACCGCAAAAAAAGTGAAAAAAATGTGAATGATTTCAGTCGCCATATGGACCTGGCGGGTGCCTGAGGAGGTGTGAGAGTAGTGAGGGATGGAGGATGAAAAGGACTAGAAGAAGCCCATCGATTATTCCTAAAGAGCCGGACGGTCAGCTGGTCCGACGGTCATTCAAAACAACGAGCACAACAAACCGCCAAAAAAATCTGTGAGTGTGCTTGCAATTTACTGTAATATCGATACATTTATTGCCAGACTTTCGAAAATCCAGAAATTAATGGAATCGCTGATGTTGTTGAAATTATGCAGGCGAGTCCTCAGCGGGACAGCAGCTCTGCTTGATGCCAATACCGCAGCAAGCGACTAAAGAAAAAATTTACTATCTGGAAACATATTAAAAAAGAGCTAGATAAAGTGAAATCCCCTCTGCCAAAAACCAACATGGACAGCAGATAATAAAAGTGCAGCATAGCAGCAGCTGGTTCATGATTTCCAAGCACATGTTACCCTCTAAAATCGATGTCTAAAGTTCAAAGTTGATGTTTGGTTAAAATGGGTCTATTAAAAACCTACCGCCAGCCATTTCGACAAACTTCTAGAGTTTTGTGTTTGAGTGGTGGTGCCGAAGCCACCGCAAAACGGAACGAACGATCCAGGAAGAATGCTGGGTCCCCCGGCTATGCCAAGGTCGAAAAGATCGTTCTTTTCCGGTAAAATTGTAAAGAGCGCCAGGGCGTGTGGAAGAGAAAAACCGAAAAAGAGAACAGCTAGTGAACATTTTTGGGGGGGCAAACGAGGCTGGGCGCTAGCCGTTGAAAGGGACCATTTTTACACCGAATTCGCCCTAGCAGGAACTACACGGGTTCCTCGTGAACCTATGATCTTTATAAAAAAACGCATGGAGGATCGGAGACGGATTAATTTTTTAACCAGGAAGCTCTCAATTCGTCTTTTTGGCTGATGTCTTGAATAAACAACTACTACTCATATACTATCTCTCTCACTCTCTCACTCTCTCTCTCACTCTCTCTCTGTCACTCTCTCTCTCTCTTTCTCTCTTCTCTCTTACCGTTTTTCTACATGTCTTTACAGTTAAAAAAAAACCTCTTCAGCGACGAAGTTCCCCCCCACTTGCATGTCAATTCATAGCCACTTATCGAAAGTGTAGAAGCAAGGACTGGGCCTCCCCGGCCGGATGGTCTCCGCAGAGATCCCTGCCCCCATGCCTCGATAGCTCAGTTGGGAGAGCGTTAGACTGAAGATCTAAAGGTCACCGGTTCGATCCCGGTTCGGGGCAGCCCTCCTTTTTGCTTTTTGCCAAAACCGTACAAAATTTTGCCGCGTTCAATATGCAGCTATGGTTAAAGTGAATTAACTTCATTTAAAGGTTATGCAGGCAATTGTCGATCATTGTCCAGGACTATCAAACTGGCGAATCCTGTTGCTCGGCCCTGTCGCTCTTCTCGCACAACCCCAGCAGCATGCCTGTAAAATCGCATTAATTTTCCCCAAATTCAAACCCACACGGCCAGCAGAAAATTATGAAGATGCAAAGGGGACAGACGTACAGGAATGTGCACGCCGATTCGTGGCACCACTTGTACCAAGATGCCGAAAAATTATCTGGTGTTGCTGGGTGGCTTTGACTCTAGAAATAAGCATCTTTCTGCAACAAATAGGCGGAACCTACTTCGACTCCTCTGGCTTTTACTGCTGTCTTTTCACCTAAAAATCAAAGCTGCAAGACCGCAGTACCCTGCAGGTCAATTCATAATCAATTATCGAAGGAGGGCGGGAGGGGGAGGGGAAAGGACCCGCTAGTCCCCTGCCGGATAGCCCCCCAGAAACCCGCTCTCTCCATGCCTCGATAGCTCAGTTGGGAGAGCGTTAGACTGAAGATCTAAAGGCCACCGGTTCGATCCCGGTTCGGGGCAGCTCTACTTTTTGCTTTTTTGCCGATGCTCGCAAAGCTTTGCTTTTTGCTTTGCAATGACGGTATCAAGTGTAGATTTATAATCTCATCACTCAAGTTGGTAGAAAAATTATTAAGACCTTTTTCTTATGCACGTTTGGTTTTAAAATTTAGTTCCGCAACAAAGTTTAACAAAATCCTTTATTAACCGGGAGTGAAAGCTGCATGTATGTATGGCTTGATGGGGGGGTTGTACATTGCACATTCCGCTTAACATCAAGAGACACTGTGATACGCGTAACGTGGTGATGGACGGGTAATAAAGCAAAAAAAGACTTCACATGAAAATGGGGGGGTGAAAGAGCGGGTGGAAAGTCTCGTAAAGTACACCGGAAAAGCAGACGATTTGAAAGACAATCGACAAAGGCAGAAGACTTTTAAAAATGCAGTAAATGGCTAGACGTGGTTCTAACGGGCGTATAGCCAATTAAATACAGTAAGATACATGCGAAGTTAACTGAATTTGGTAGGGGGGTGTAAAGCGGACAGAACCGTAGTACGAGTAACGTGCAGCAGAAGAAAAAATGCTAGTCAAGGGTATGCTAACGGAATTTGGGGGGTTGTAAGGCTCCAAAAACAAATCGGATTTGGGGGATACTGTACAAAGAATTAGCGATTTGCCAACGGCACGGTCAGAGCCAAAAAAAGTTTAAAGGGCCGCGGAAGGGCAAAAAATAGAGAAATCAATGCGTATTTGAAGCTTTTGAAGCTTGGAGACCTGCCCAGCAAGAAAATATTATGGGTTTTTGGCTTTCGGGGTCCTTTAAAGGGGTGGGGGGGGGGTTGAAGCGACTTAAAGGGGTGGTGACAGCTCGAAGACGTGTTCTACGCAGCGACGGCCATCAGCCCCTCGCGGACCATCGTCTCCAGCTCGAACAGATGATTGTCGTGATGGTCGGGGAAGAGCAGGCGGTGATGCTCGGCGAGTTTCAGGACGTATCTGGAATTAAATGGGTAAAATTTTCTCCATATCAGCCGTTTTACATTTTAAAAATTTTAGAGGTGTTTTTTAAATGGTCCCTAAGCGATCTCTATACCTTTTTCCACCCCCGCCACTCGCTAGGCCCCTTCCCCCTTAATCTTCGCCCCGGAAATCGCGTCAAGAGTGCACCCAAAAACAAATCAAAAGGACAGTTATCTAGTCCGGACTTTGGGGAACTCCCTCTCTCTCTCTCTCTCTCTCTCTCTCTCTCTCTCTTCCCCTCTCTACTAAAGTGCAACCGCGTGGCGCCCCGTTGAAAATATTGTTCCCTCTGGGCGGGGAGAAGACGAGAGAATGGAGAGCGGAAAGAGCGAGAGAAATGGGGCACTAGGGCTTTTCCTGGAGTACTATGTCGGAGCCAACAAAAACATTAGGAAATCGAACTAGTCCTTGTCTACCCGAAAAAGATACCCCACGAACAACAATTTTGTCGATAGCTATCTAGAAGATCGTAAAACGCATAGCGTTTTTTCAAATCAAAATAAGTGAAAATTTTCTACTTTCGCCAAGTGAACTTTGGTAAAATTCGGAATTTCGGAGAAAACACGTTTTTTCAGCTTGTCTGCTTATCCGGGCTTCAAATCTTGTCTCAAGCTAAATTCTCGCAATTTTTCAACAGCCACCCCCGCAACATTCGTATCGTTTGAGCCAAATATTGAGGAGGGAGGGCTGCCGCTAGCCATCGCGGGGGTCTGTCTAAAAGGTGCTCCCCGGTTGCATCAGCCGGCCGGCCGATGGAGCAGACCCCTGTTTTTCTCAATGTCTCTTCCCCCTCTCGTGCTCTATCATTGGAAAGGTTCAGCTGGGCGGTGACTGGCCGGGAATGGGGGATTGCATGAGACGTCCTCTGGTCGGGTGGGGGAACACCCGGGCCGAGCGATCGAATATCTGATAGATGCGCTCGGAAATAGACCAAACAGGAGCGGGAATGGTATGCGGAACATGTGCACCGGGCGTGGGAAGTGTTACGGCGTGTTTTTAGGGATTTTAAAGGTATGGCGACAGCTTGATCGACGCCTAAGCCTAAGTAAGACCTGACCCTTCAGTCCTTTTCATTAAAAAACTCACTCATGATTGGGCCCAGCCAGTCCTCGAGCCTTGGCAATTTCCATCGCCATTTTTGACACCTCGTCCGGCCCGAGGTAGTACTCGTTGTCATCGCTAAAAAGTGGCCATTATACCGTAACCCGGGGTCAGAACTTACTAGGCAATGCAGGTGAGGGCCATCGTCTTCACGAGCCGCCCGTCAATTTCGACGACGCACGGGATCTCCTCGAAGCGGTACCCGTTTCCGACCTTTAAAAAATTTTCGGGTTAAAGGGACAGTGGCACAAAATTACCTCTCGTTCGTAGAGATGAGCAAGGGCGGCGCGGATGGCGCGGCGGCCTCGGATGCGGAACAGCATTCCGGTGGCTTCAGAGGTGGAATCCTGGACGAGGGTGGCGACACGGCCAGGCTAAAATTATCGAGGTTTAAAGGTACCTTAAAGTCAAATTTACCAACCATGTGGATCTAAGGGCTAATTTACATATAGGAACTTTTTTCCTAGTTTCCGATTCATTCCGCCTTTCCACCCCCTCAGCCCATCCCTGGAAAAGCACGTGCCCCCGCATACTAGCCCCCACTCAATGGCCCTGCCCGCACATGACCAGACATGCGTTTTTGGGAGGGGTGCT